AGTCGCTCCCTGGACCACAATGTCGTCGAAGAAGCAAGATACTCCTTCCAACTCAATTAACACCTGGTCCATAAAACGTTGCCAAACATTAATCTTTTTACTAGATAATTTCCTTTATGTGTTGTGATCGTTTGAATTTTTGAACTTTCTTCTGTAACCTCCATATGTAAATATGCTTGATTTATGTCCAATGTACAAAAATATTTTCCACCACCTAATTTTGAGAATAAGTCATCGATTCTTGGTATTGGATAATTGTCATCTTCTAAATTTTTATTAATCGTAGCTTTGTAATCGGCACATAATCTAATTTCACCGCTAGGTTTTACCACGGGTACTATGGGACTTCCCCATTCTGAGTAAGTTGTTTTTTCAATGATTTCCAGTTTCTCGAGACGATCAATTTCGGCTTCTATTCTCTCTTTTAAGGCGTATGGCACTGGTCTTGGGCGTATGAATATTGGTTTTGTCTCCTTTTTCAAGTTCAGATTGCATTTTGTATTGGGTATCTTCCCCAAAGTCGGTTCGAATAATTTATTATACTTCTTCAATAATTTTTCTAATTTTTCTTTGTATGTCGTATCTTGATCCAAACTGATTTTGTATATTTCATTCCAATTTATTTTTATTTTATTTATCCAATCTCGACCCATTATTGTATCGACATCTTCTTGTAAAACGTATAAGGTCCCAATTGTATTTTGGTCCTTGTATGTAATTTTTACATCACATTTTCCGATTGGTTTTATTTTTTCCCCTGTATAGGTTTTTAATTGAATTTTTGTATTTTCCAGTTTCTTTCCTGGACAAGTATTTTTGAATTGTTTCTGCGACATAATTGATAATGCTGCTCCTGTATCAAGTTCCATGTAACAACTCTTGCTCTCGATTTGTAATTGAACCATGTATTTATTGCAATGAGTGGTATCCAGTTTCTTAATGCTATTTATTGTATATTCTTCCAGTTCATTTTTCTCTTCATTTTCTTCCTCCTCTTCTTCTTCATCCTCCTCTTTCAATTGTTTTATCTTCTTCGCTTGTTGGAAGCATACGATGGCTACATGTCCCTTTCTTCCACAATGCTTGCATTTTAGGTTTTCGGCTTTGCAATCCTT